GCTCCTTTCAGATTTTGTTACCTCCTCACACCTACATGTCTGTCAGGGCTTGTACAACCGCTCTCTCATACCCTGGAGTTTCCTATGGTGTTTTTGAGATCAGTCATTAGTCTTTGTCTGGGAAATGAAAAAGAAAAAAAGCTCATATATTGCCCACGTAGATACTTTCCAAGCATTGTATGCAATGGACTATAGATCCAGTGTACACAGACCCGCTGAGAGGAATAGCATGTAAAAGGAAAGCTTTGAAGCATGCGAAAGGAATTCACTTTAAAGGTACTATGTGTAGAATCACATTTGTACCTTCATTGTGACTCTTCAAAAAAGCAACTTTAAAAATGGCGAACTCGTCTTCTTTTTTCAGCCACAGTGGAGGGATCTGCATGTTTTTGATTTGGCGTGGACTTTTACGCCGGATGCAGCCCACCCAGGGACTTTTGCATGTTAGGTCAGCAAGGTGCATTAAAACCGGTGCGGTCTTTATGTTAATAACTGTGCTGAACAACATCTCCGCAGTAAATAAGTGGGGAGGACGGGGAAACGGGCTAGGAGCATGCATTACTTTGTCTTATTTTTTTCCATGCTACCACTAGAGGGAGCCAGTCAAATGTGGTGCAGGTGTCTGACTGATGCACGACTTATTTGACAGTCTAATTTATTGAATAGTGGTTTAGTAGTTCTAGATTAGGCACCATGTTAGAGGAAAAAATTATTCTTCCACAGTATGCAGCACCAATACATGGCTGAACATTATTTTAATCTATTAGAGAAGCAGTTGTGGATAGCTGCTGGTCTGTGGGCACATCTGTGAACATTACTTACCCACTGTACATGTCATGAACATTTGTTTATAATTTGGTTAGCAGTTACTGTTTTAACAGTGTTTAATAAAACTCAGTCTTGAAGCTTTAAGTGTTTTTGTATTTCAGTGCTTTTTCTATGCATATATACTATGTCTTACTTTCTGTATGCGCGTGTAGCTGTTCCAGGTTTACAGAGCAGCAAGGGGTACCTGGGAGAGCGCATCAGAGTGTGGGAAGGCCAGAGAGGCCTGTCCTTCTTGCAGAACATAGAGCTGAGAGGAGGAGAGCTGCTGGTACCCAGAGCAGGCCTCTATTACATCTACGCCCAGACCTACTTCAAACTCCCGTCCATGGGGGAGATGGACGGGGAAACAAGAGAGGAGCAAGGAGCTCAGCTTGTCCAGTATATCTACAAGAAGGTCAAAGCTTTTTTACTTATTAAAGGATAACTGGTGATGGTTAGCTATAGCTATAATTAGAAATTATACTATTAGTGTTTTAGCGAATAAATATGGTTTCATGATGTTCAAGTGAGAGATGGAATTAAAAAGGCAGCTAAACCTTTTAATCCAAGAAATCATTAACCAATTAGTGTTGTATCCTTTAAGGCTTCTTAAAAGTACACACTTCCTTTTTCTTTCAAATACATTAAAGAACATTTAAAGCTCACAGCCTTCAAGTGTTAAGTTACTTTATTTGCTCTTGTTTGAGATGCATATATCCTTACAGGATTTCCTTTGAGCTTGAGTTGGTTTAAATAACCTCAGTGTCAATCAGGATAAAATGAAACTAAGTCAGTATAGCCTGTAAATTTAAACCGAAAGGTAGAACGCTTACAAATCAGTGATATGTGCTGATATATAATGCCATGCTTTATTCATGTTTTCTTTCTTTTTGGTGTTGCCCACAGATGAGTTCCTACACGGCACCTATCTTACTGATGAAATCAATTAGGAGTGTCTGCTGGCCTCGGGGTCAGGAGCCTGGCCTCTTCTCTCTGCATCAGGCTGGCACTGCCTTTCTACAGCCTGCAGATCGCCTCTTCATTACTGTTAGCAATGCTAGTGTCATAGAGATGGACGGTCGGGCAAACTACTTTGGGGCCTTCCTCGTGAGCTAAAAATAAGCATCCAGGACTGAAATTTTAAAAAGGCATGAGCAGAGGTGAAGCAGAATGTTGCTTGATAACATAAGTGGCAGTCGGATGGAACAGGACTGGAAGAGAAGAAAAGACTGTAAGGATAGCAAAAGGACTTCTTCGGGACCGCGGGTCATGTATGACATTCCGGAAATAATGTCATCGAAATAAATCCATCAGTGGCCTTTTAATTGGTCGACCTAACGCAGGATATGAATTCCGTTTTCAAGCCTGAGAAACTTCATGGAAGCTTAATGTACGGCAGCAAACATGGATTATGTTTTGCATTCGGATAGATAGAGGTGCACTTGGAACCATTCAATAGATAGAGATTTAAATGTCACGCGTGAATGCCCTCTATTGAACCAATACGTTTTGCCTGCAGGTGAAACAGTTCCCAGCTGAGTTATCAGTCACTGGAAAGGGCAGTGATGTTGGGCACATGAGAGGTCTTACATCAAAAATTTTGACAAGATTTTACATGTTGAATATTATGAATGAAACTTCCTACTCGTTTATGTCATCGCTGTGCAATCTAGCGAATCAATGTGGTATTAAAGAGATGAAGGGATTCTGAAGTTCTCAATGCCTTAACAAAAACACAGATGTATCTCAGAAAATGAGAACACCCTTTAGAATTAGTACACCCAACAATAATCATGGGAAAAACTGCTGACTTGACAGTCATGATCTGATAATCATTGATACTCTCTACAAAAGGGATAAGCCAGGATGTCATTCCTGTAAAAACTGGAGGTTCACAGAGTTTTGTAGTAAAGCCTATTGATAGAAAGTGTATTGTAAGGGAAAAAGTAGGGAAAACGGTGAAAAAACTTCAAGTGTTGGACTGAGGCTGGAATCGCATCAAGAGCCACTACATGCAGGTGTCTTCTGGAAAGATACTACAGCTTTCTCAATCCTAATATCAAATCACATCGGAATCAAAGGAACTTACCTGAGCTAAAAAGTTGCTCAGTGGTCCAAAGTTTTCACCTAAAAGTAAAATTTGCATTTTATTTGAAAAATAAGATCCTAAAGTCTGGAAAAACTAAAAATCCAAGGTGCTCTAAGTCCACTCAAAACTTTATGTGGTCTGTGACGATTTGGGGTGTAAAGTGATCTGGTGGTGATCTACCAGGAGATTTTAAAGCTCTTCATGCTTCAATCAAGCTTTATGGAGCTTCAGATTTTCATTTCCAGCAGGGCTTATCTTCCCAGAGTTCCAAACTGACTATAAAATAGTTTGCTGACCATGTCAGTGCTGTGACTTATTCGTCAGCCAACTTGCCTGACCCAAACCCCGCAGGGGTATTGTCAGAAGGAAGAAGAGAACGGTAGGAGATAGCACACCCAAGAGATGAGCTGAAGGCTCCTATGAAAGTAACCTGATCTTCAGGAACACCTCAGCAGTGACAAAAATGAATCCCTTCATTCACTGATGCAGCAAGTTTTAGTAGCAACCCGCACTATTAAAATAAATTACCATTAAAAAGAATTTTCATGATATTCTAATATGTGAGATGTGTCAGATTATACTGTATTTTAAGTGTTTTCCAACACATTTTTACACTAAAGTGTAAAACAAAATCGTGATCCCCACATACTATATCACTACATGTATCCTGAAAACTACTGGATGGATTGCCAATAAATGTTAGTGAAGACGTTCATGGTTAATTAAATTTTAAGACAATACTGAAAAAGTAAAAAACTATCGTTTAATTCATGTTGTAGTACATGTTTCCATAATATGGCAGTGAATGTTTCAGCAATAATAGTCACTCCCCAAACAAGAGTTTTTACACTTAAAAAAAAATCAATACCAAAAACTTAATCAGGGTTCAAGTAATGCCCAAAAGAAATACATTTTGAAACACACACACACTCACTCACACACAC